CTATGCACGCTTATGCAAAGATCTGCTTCACTTTTAATACTCACCAGTGCCCTGGACAATTCATGGGTTTGAGGGCAAAAGTGTCCTTTTCAATCTCAAAGGCAAACATGTTCTCACTGTAATGCTGCCAGTGGCCAGAGGTTTCCCAGAGTTTACTGTTGTACACATTGGGAGAGAGCACTTCCGTGAAGTTACGTTTGTGATATTCCTCCTTTAAGATAAATGCATTTAACATTAAAATCTGCAAGGAGAGATCACTATTCCACATAAAAGTAACACTACAGGCTAATATTTTTAAACTCAGGATCATGTCTTATATTAACTCATGATTAATGTACCCTCAGTTTTAGGTGTGGTGGTTTCTGGATCATGAAAGAAAGATGTATATATGCTCCATATAATTTTCATTAAGTATATTTATTTTATAGTATACAACAGCATATAGTACATAATGTTTTAATTCAATTCTTTGAAAATTAGTAAACGAAATACAATATATACAGAAACTTGCTATAACTATAAACTCCAAAGTCTTTCTACATTCTACATAAACAGCAGCAATTCTCTCTCTTAAGTAATAAGAATAATTTTAGAACTTAATTAGCCTGAATGCCATGTTGCATGTTACAGTGTGGTTTTTTTTTGTTGTTGTTTGTTTGTTTTTGAGACAGGGTCTCACTCTGTCACCTGGACTAGAGTACAGTGGCATCATCGTAGTTCACTGCAACCTCAAACTCCTGGGCTCAAGCAATCCTCCTGCCTCAGCCTCCCAAGTAGCTGAGACTATAAGCCTGGGCCACCACGCCCAGCTAATTTTTCTATTTTTTATAGAGAAGGGATCTCACTGAGGCTGGTGTTGAACTCCTGAACTCATGACCTCCAGCAGGGTGCCTCAGCCTCCCAGAGTGCTAGGATTATAGGCGTGAGCTAACACACCCAGTCCATGTTATAGTTTTGATTTATTTAGTTTTAAATAGAAATAAAGTTGAGTATTTTCATTTATAACAATTTATGTAGTTGATATCTATTTAAGTCATAAGCTAGCTTCTCTCCCTCCCTACCTATTAATAGCTTCCCTAATTGAATCACTGGGAACAGAAGACAGTTTTTCAAGCAAAGTTTTAATTTTACTTAAACTTCATTTTTTTCCCCCTTTACAATATCAATTTGGTAATCTTTGTGGGTAAATATTCTATGTGCACTTTCAAAAAATGTATATTCTGCTGTTGTTCTATAAATGTCAATTAGGTCAAATTGTTTGATAATGTTCAATAGTGACACTTTGCATGGTGACTTTAATTTGAATTAACACAAAAACCTGAAAAATCCTTAGATTCTCAACATTTCCAAATCACTTAATAAACATACCATTATCATCATCATCTGGCACAAATCTACATTACCATACATTAGGCAAGTTTAAAAAAAAGATTCTTCACAGTTTAAAAGAAACATAATATTTTAAAATTACTAACAACAATAGTTTTATATCACTGAAAGGGATGTTATCTGTTGTTTTTCAGCAGGGCATCTCTTCAGTCCAATAGTGGATATCTTGGATCTCAGCCATTCAGTAAAGTGCTTTACCTACCCTGTTTAAACTGGGTGTAGTG